CGGCCCCGGTACGGAGCCGCACTCCAGCGGCAGCGGGGGTGGATGGCCGGGCATCCTGCGGAGAAGGGCGTCCAGGGCTGGGGTGAGCCACCGTTCCTCTTTCTGCCGCCTGTACCTCTATTAGAGCGCACCTAGGGGCCACTTCCCCAGCCTCCTTTGGGATCTAACCACGGATCCAACAGCATCTCAGTTCTATTGGAATATTGGCTATGCCTCCCACCCGCTTCGGGATAAACCCCATGAACTGTAGTTCAGACTCCAAGGATCTTTTCAACCCAGGATCTTTACAACACTCTCTGCAGCTGGCCCTGCTCTGAGCCCTAGGAGAGACAGCCACACCGAGAAAAGAGGAACGTTGGCCCGCATTTATTATGCTCTAGTTGTGTGCTACTTGCTTTACATGCTTCATCTTTCTCAAACCATCCAGCAAATCCAAGAGGTAGAAGATTTAACCTGCTTCACGGAAGAAAGTGGGGTTCAGAGAAGGGAAGCAGCTCACCTAGCTGCATAGGCTGAACTTCCATTGCAATCTCCGTGCCTTTGCATGTGCTGAGCCCATCTCCAGCAATGCCTTCTTTCTCACTTTTTTTTTTTTTTGGAGTGTGTGTAGGATGGGCTGTCATCTGTTGGGCTGGGGGAGACAGCTTCAGAGCGGGCTGTGGCAGCGTGGGGTACTGTAAGTTTCTGGTTTTTTTTTTTTTGGATGTGTGTGTGTGTGTGGGGGGGGTCAGACAAACTCCTACTGATCCTTCAAGACCCGAATCTAGCCTTTCCTCACCTGTACAGCTGCCCTGGCTCCCCAGCCTGAGCCCTATTGCTCCCTCTGGAACCCCTAGTCCTGGATCCCCCTGACCTCATGGGACTGAGAGTGTCTGTCTCGGAGAGGGGGGCCCTTCTCACCCAGGAAGGCCTCAGTGAATTCCTTGGCGGCACGGGTGGCCGCCTGCGCCAGCTCTTCTTGGCTCAAGCCCTGCAGCTGAGGGTGTGCTGGCTCCAGCCTCTGTAGCAGGATGAGGGCGCCCCACACCTGCTGGGTCAGGGCAGGGGCTGAAGTCAGAGCAGCTCCGTTCTGCCGTCGGAAGTTGCTTCGAAGTCCCGGATCTCCGGCCACCCCAGCTCCATAGTACTGGCTCAGGAGGTGGTGGAGGGGTGGCCGGGGCTCAGGGGCCCGACTCAGGTAGTCCCCAAGGAGGGCCCCATCCAGAGCACCGTTGAGGAAGGCTGTGGTAACCGGTGATGCCTCAGCGTCCAGGAGTGTGAACTTCCTGGGGACAGAGAGCTGGTCCCAGCAGCCCTCAGCTCCCAGGCCTGGGTGGCTCTGGGTTTGAGGGTTCTGGAGGAAGGCCAGGCCCAGGTCTCTGGCCAAGGTGACCACCAGGAGGCTGTCCACAGTGGTCGGAGACTTTGCTTTGGCATCTGGCGAGGAGGTTTGGTCATCTGGAGAGGTGACTCTGTCATCTTTAAAGATGGCCCCTACATTGAGATCTGTGGTTCTAACATTTGGAGACGTAGCCCTGACATCTGCAGAGCTGACATCTGGAGAGACATCCCTGAGTCCTGGGGAGGTGGCTCTTGCATCAGAAACCTCAGCTCCCACATCTGGAAAGGTGTCTCCGGCACCCAGAGGGGTGGCTGTGCTGGCCAAGGGCAAGTCTATGACCCTGTGGCCCTGCAGCCCTGCTTCCAGCCCTGCCAGAAGAGGCTCCACAGCCACCGTCGAGCCATCGGGGGCCAGTACCACCCCGTATTCCCGCCCACCCCGCACAGCATGTCGGGCCACCTCCTCCATCAGGCCTTGCAGCTCTGGGCTCAGTGCAGAAGGATCCAACTTGGTGACTTTGAGACTTCGTTCCTTTAGCAGGAAGTGATGGAGGGGATCGTGGGGATCAGAGTCCCAGGCTGACAGGTGCCACACAGAGACAGTGTGGTTGGCCTCCGTGACCGGCACTTTCTGCTCCAGCTCAGCGAGAGCCTGGGTGACAGAATCCATGAGGAGGGGCAGGGATGCTGTAGAAGGAGGGATGGCATTAACCCCGTGGCCCAGCACCCCCTGTTCCTGAACCTCCCTCTGCTCCTTCCACATCTTCTCAATGCCCTCTCCTCCCTCCCTCTCCCTCTCTCTCTTTCTCCCCACCCCTCTCTGACTACCCTGTGATGCCCCAACACCATCCTCATGTAAATGATGAAACAGAGGCACAGACAGCAGGTTAAGGAGCTTAGACAATCTGTGAGCACTGGGGAGCCATGGCAGGTTCATGAGCAGGAGCGAGATGCAGCCAGGCTGGCATTCTAAGATTGCTCCTTGGGCTGCCTGTGGAGAATGAATGTTCAGGAGGCTAGAATAGAGAAGGGGAAACAGCATGGAGGTGAGGAATAAAGATTGCTAAAGCTAAGTGATGGCTGTGTGATGGCCAATAGTGGGCAGAGTCCCCAGGTAGTTTGAGGGAAAGATGGACAGTTTTTGTGTTTTGTGTTGGACCTTGGGGAATTTTATAGGGTGAGGTGTCTGGAGGATGCTCAGGGGAGGAGAGGATGGGCCTTGTGAGGGAAATGTCAGCAGCTGAACCTGGAACCTAGAAGTGCTAGGCTCAGGGCTGGGGTGGGTTGTTGAATAACAGCTAACATTTATTAAACATTTATTTTGTGCTGTGTGCCATTCTAGGTAACACACAAAAACACATTTAATCTTCACAATGACTCCATGAGCCCAGAGGGGTTAAATGACCTGCCCAAGGTCACACAGACAGGAAGTGGCAGAAGCAGGACTTTGAACCCAGGAATTCTGATTCTTCTCCAGACAGTCCACACTATAATCCCTCTGTTCTTCTCGCTGCCTAAAATGCCCTTTCCTGCTTCTCCCCAAGTAAAAGTCTCCTTCCTGTCCTAAATCTGTGTCCCCTCGTCCGGGAAGCCTTCCTGATTTTTGTTCTTCTGGTCCCAGTCTTTCCCCCAACCCCTGCCTTGACCCTGTAGGGCTGGGAGAATCTGTGACCCCAGACTGGAGGTTCCTCGAGACTGGGGTCTCCTGAGGACTCCAGTCTTACCCTGTAGAGGGCTGGACACAGAGGGGATAGCAGATACTTCTGCAGAATTGATTGTCCTTGCCGCAGGCCTCTGCCTTCTGACCTACCTGTCCCTGGTTCCGGACACAGCAACAAGCCAAGCAGGATCCAGAGGATACCCTGGACTGCCGTTGTGGGGTTCCAGCTTCCGGGGGGCATATCCGGTTGACCTCAGCAGAGACCTCAGCGGAGCTAGAAAGAGACAGGCATGGAGAACTGAGTGGTGCCTTTGGCCACTGTCAAAGTCCAGGGGTGAATGACATGGTTGCCTCTCGCAGAGCTGTGGGCGGGAGGCAGGGGGAGCGTGGGACAGTGCCCCGAGTCAAGGACATCAGGGGCTCCCCCATCCTATCCTTTCCCTCCCAGGCGGAGGTCAAGGCTCAGTAAGCCAGGAGGCATCTGGAGGCCGGGTAGTTCAGACTCCAACGAACGGCCCCATCCAGCAAGCCCTACCCCTTCCTTTCCTGATCATTCCGTAGCTGCAGCTGCTGCCGGCCACCACAGGGGGCTCTCAGGTGCCAGCCCAACTGGTAGGACTGGCTGTGCTGGGGGAGGGGAGAGAAGGACACACCTGAAGTTGGCGCTGCCTCCTGTCTTTGCTGCCAGCACTTCAGGCTCAGGCAGAGAATGGGTACAGGGGCTGGGGAGTATTTTTGCCAAGGACACTGTGAGCCCAGGGGACTAGGAGATGTCTTCCCTCATCCAGTTCCAGCTCCGGATCCCCGGCCACTAGATGCAGCTGGAAGCAGGGGTTGGGCCTGGGCCTTCTGGACCCTGACTTTGTCCGAGGAGCTGGTTTCTTGCTCACCTGGGCTGACAGTGAGGGGTCCCTCTTCTCAGCAGGTGTGTCTGAGTCCTGCTGAAGTGAGACTGCCTCCCCTTTATTTGTGCTGCAGGTGGGATGGGCTCAATGTGACTGGGGCTGCTGCTGTGTAAATTGCTTCACCGTGGGCCTCCCACCTCGAAACTCGCCTGGGAATGCCCAGGCTGAGCCCGGCTTGGGGTTCCCCAGGGTGGGGCCTGCTCAGATATCCAGTGTCATCCTTCTGGGGACTCAGCATCACCCCGGGTACACAAAGCGGGGTACGCCGTGGGAGCTCAGGAGGAAGGTGCTAGGGGAGGGAGTGAATGGGGGCCACTCCCCGGGGGAATCTGAGGAAATCTCCTCCTCTGAGGATGTTGGGATGGGCCTCTGCCTCGTAGAACCGAGGGCAGGAAGTGGTCTGTGTGTCCATCTGGGGCAGGGACTGGAATGAGGAGCGTGAGGTATCCTCCTCAGATACAAAATGTAAGGTGGTGTCGAAAATCTCAGTCATCAAGATAAGTACTATTTTCATACAATATCTTAGTAGACTAAAGTGAATGCAAAAAGTCCACGAGGAACACACATTTTAGGTAAGTGTCTATCAACATGCTAGATAAAGTCAGGATCGGGAACAGTGCTGTGCAGAGACTGCTGGAGCCAGAGGTGGGAGGAAAAACCAGGAATTTTGATCCTGTCTCTGTGTCTCACTTGCCTCACCCTAATCCCAGTGGCCCTGCGTAGA